CTAGTGGGTACTCTGGTGTCGTTTACTCCTTCTTTCCTATCAAACATCCATCGTTCGTTTCTCTCCGCCTTCTTTTGTACACGACGTTACTCTCTGGCAACAACTCAAATCTTCGGCATTTATATGGCCTAATTGAGTTGCAAGTGCTGTAAAATCTTAGTAAAACTGATTTTGTTGTGCCCTTTGGATTTGTTTTTATTTGGAGAGGGGGTGGGGGTGGGGGGTTGTTGTTGTTGTTGTTATTGGGATTTTTTTTGGGGGAGTGCGCTTCTTCAGATCATGATGGCCTTTTACTTAGTATTTAGTGAGTGTCTTTGATTTATGCCCTATCGTGGTGTGTTTCTTGACCTTTCCATGTCCCCAAGCCGAAAGGGTAGTATCTAGGCCTACATTATCGGGCAGTTTCCAAATACATAATATGTAATGGTAAAATGCAAGATTGCTGTCGACTTTGCATTGATCATCATCAAAGATTGTTTACTGCACAGAAGATACCCAAATGTTTTACGCCACTGTTGTCACAGTTTAGAGCATATAAAAAGAACAATCTGGTCTGAGTTGGATACAAAATCATAGAAGAAAGGAGGAAGCCTTCAATAAAATTATAGACTTCCCTACGTCAAGATTGAACGCATCTTTTGCGAGCAATGGGAACAGCCATGTGAAGGTTGCAACAAGTAATATATTGAGAAAAACCGAGCTGACCAAGAAGACAGACAACAGGGAGGAGTGGCGTACCGAGCTCGTCAATGTCTGCTCCAGACCTGACCACACCTGAAGAAGAAGTGAAAAGCCTGGTCATTTCTTCGCAGACGCTGGATTATGACAAATGTTATGATACTATGACAGCTTATTGAATGGGTGGGTGGTTGGCGGGTGCTCTGGTGTGGTTTGCTCCTTCTTTCCTATCAAACATCTATCATCTTTATCTCCCCTCCTTCTTTTTTGTGTTTGTTACTCTCTTGTAACACCTCTAATCTTCGGCACTTATATGACCTTATTGTGTTGCAAGTGCCGTAAAACTCTTACTAAACTAAACTTATTGAATGGGAAGATGATACTCAGGTTTGAATCCTTAACAGGGCGTTCATCAACTTGGGTTCTTTGAGACATTTTCACAGATCTCCACTTACTTGGCTCGACCCTTTAGCTAGTACTGCACTGCCACTTAAGAGATGACCAAAGGTTTTGATGGTGACTTATGGGCAACGAAAATAAGAGAAGACTACTGCACAAATACAGCATGATTATTTAGTCGAGCTTCTCTTAATGTCCTTGTCCGCAACACACTGATAAATTTGTAAGCCAACTATTTTGTCATAGTGCAGTACATGTGTACTAGGCTAACAGAGATGACTGTGATGTGTCACTCACACTATACATCACCATACATCACCCTAATGAGTTTTCCTCCCACAACTTTCAGGTTATGAAGACTCTAGGCAAGCTGTTGCCGACTATGTGAGCACTCCCACATCTCGAGTGGATTCAAAGGTATGATACAGTACACAACTTGCTTTTGTTGACATATACAGTTTATGTTGTTTTATAAAGGTTTTACGGCGCTCACGAATGCATAAGGTCATAATATTATGAGCGCCAAGGGTGGATGTCAACAGAGAAGTCCAAACGGGGAATCAAGATTTACTCTGCTCACCTCTCTAGCCTCAACAGCACAGTCTGCTTCGACTATCAAGGCACCCCGGAAATAGCGGTTCACAAGAGAGTGACAAAAAGACAAAAGAAGTAGAGGCAAATGACGATATA